CTGTTGTGGGGTTCCTGAGCTGGAAGAACAGAATGTGCCGAAGGGAAGGGAGGTAACTGTCTTCCCTGGTTCTATATGTGATTCTTCAAATTGGGAGGCAGCAGGATACAGCTCAATGTCTAATAAGTTAATAGCCATGGAGACATAGGATGTATCCAGACAGACTAGGGGTTTGTGGGGTCCTGGGCCACAACAAGTAGAGGCAGGTCATAAAGCAAAAGGAAGAGGCATGCTTGGAAATTTTGAGAGTTTTTCTGATTATTGCAGAATAACCAGAACTCTTATAAAAAACTTATTTAAACAGGAGATTGAGGAGCCAAAAGGAGCAGAAGGGAGGCTGCCTACTGCTTCAGCCTGTTATTTTGGGCTAGGTCTACAGAAGGATTTCTTTGACCCATCATTCTCAAATGGGGGCAGGCCTACCTGCTCAGAGAAGGTTCAGTCATTGTTACCACCTCCCCATCTCTCCTGCTTAGAGGCTAGATGCCACAATGCTAACAGTGTCTGAACAATGGGCACTGATGGGAAATGGCACCTGTTAGGAATCATGGGTCTAAAACGGAGCAGGCCAGAAAATAGAAAGGCCCTCCTGTGAAAAAGTCACATTTGGGGGGGAGGGGGGATTGTCCACACATCAAAAATGCAAAATTCTTCACAGAAAAGGATTTCCAGAACAATTCCATGTGGGGAGAACTAAATGGTCTCATCTAAGGACTGAGGCTGCCAGAGGCCAAGTGCCCCTGCTCCCCAACTTCCTGGACCTCAGCCTCACCACCTCCTCTCCCTGGCAGCCAGGCAGCAGGAAGAAGAAAACCAAAGCAGCTCAGCTCCCCCATCAGAGAGGCAGCCAGACAGGGGGTGGCAGGAAGACAGAGCACAGGGGAAGTAGAAATCTGGGCATTCAGCCTTCATCAGCCTGCCTGGAAGGCTCTTGCCAATTTTGTTTTTGCCCTGAAGCAGAAAATGAAATTGACAAGAGCCTTTCTAGCAGAGAGGGGTTGTTTCAATTTTTCTGACAGACAATCAAAATATTTCTGGAAATCCCTTGGGGTGGGGGAGACTTGTTTTAGACTTTTTTGTCCCAATTTGGGATGTTTTTTTAAATGTGATTTTTTTTTCCCAGATCCCTTTTCTGACCAGATCAATTTCACACCTATGACTCCCATTAGGTGCTATCTCACCAAAGGACACGGTCATGTGGACGTATCTTAGGCACTGTTAACACTGTGCCATTAAAAACCATCCCAGTGGAAAATTTCCCACCGGCTTTGATCAGAAAGTCTTAGCATAGACACAGCTTTCAGCCACAAGGAGAATGATGTGCACAACACAGCGCCTATTTCCTCTGCAGGGCAGAGTACTATAATCCTGACCTGAAAGACACCTTTTTGCCCTCCCAAACTTATGCCCCAAATAGGGATGCAAGCGACTAGTCAACTACCTGATAAGCATATGAATAGTCGCTCCCCCTGCTGCCTCTATCAAAGAGGGGCAGCAAGAAGGGGGAGCAGGAGCTGGTGCTGGGAGGAGCCAGCTTAAAAGCTGGCTCCGCCCCCAGTACCATCTCCATGGTGGGAGGAGGAGGGCAGGAAAAGCAGAGGCATAGCAGGGGACTGGGCACAAGTTGGGAACCAGCTGATTGCCAGCTCACGCTCGGTCCACCCTGCTGCGCCTCTGCTTTTTAAATGTATTAAGAGCCTGGCGGCTCCTCATTTTAAAAGCAAAGGTGCAGTTTCTGGACCAGGTTCAAGCTGGGACAACTAATTCCCAGCTTGCACTCAGTCCCCCTTGCTGCACCTTTTCCTTTTAAATGTATTAAGAGTCTGGAGGCTCTTAATACATTTAAAAGGCAGAGCCGCAGTGCAGTTAGCTCCTGAACCAGGAGCTCCCTGTTGTGGCTCTGCAGTTTCCCCCCCTTATCAACTAATCGAGTAGTCAATGGAAATGTCATCAACTACTTGATTAGCTGATTAAATGCAATTTAACATCCCTACCCCCACACAAAACTTGTTTCATCCAATTAACTTCAAACCTTCCAACGATGCCATTCTCCTCTAGCATGGACATTTCAGACTGAGGAGAGCTCTGTTCAGAAAGTTAGAAGAAAATCCCCATCAGGTTTATAATGAAAATTATGTGAAAATCTTTCTAGTATAATGGAAAGATTATGTATAATACTGTGAGTATTAGAGATGGCCGCAAACTGTATCCTCACATAAAAAGCCCTTGATCAGCCCCCTTGAAGGAGGGGCAATTTGGATTTGCTCCCCTGGGTCAGAACTCATCACCATAATTTTAGCTGTGGCTAGTACTGAAAACTAGCAAAGGCCTATTTTCTGGATCTTTGGAGAACAGTTGGTTTCACAAGATTTAAGATATTTGGGCTGAAATGTTGTCAGGAAAGCTTATGCAATTTTGGCATAATCAAAACCAAACTGTAGCCTTGTTCAGCTTTGAAGCCACACTCCAAACCCTATTAAAAGAAACCTAAATTCAGCACCTAGGCTGGTGTACATTGGTGGAGCTCCACTGAGGATAATGGAGCAATGCTGATTTACGCTCCCTAGGGACCTGGCACCATTCTGCATCCAAGCCCTCCCTCCCCCCGATTCATCCTATTGGTACACATTATATTCCACTTCATCTAGATAGACTCTTTAGGGGGAGAGCTGCTTATTTGAGCTCTGATTACATCAGGTCTGGCCTTACCATGAGGCGAACTGAGGCGCCGCCGCCTCAGATGCCAGACTGGGGGGGGGCATCGCTAGGACCCAGAGCGTAGAAAATTGTGTCTGCTGCTGGGGCATATGCATTCTCTCTGCTCTAGATGCACAGAGATGGTGGAGGGCCATGAGAGGAGTAGAACAGGAAGAAGGCAGAATTGAGACCTTTCAAAGTTTTGGCCCAAGCGAGGGGGTAGAGAGGTGTCATTTGAGCTCCCCCCCTCAGGTGCCAAAATATTGTGGGCTGGCCCTGGACTGCATTCACCCCATTCTCCCCAGGCCCTGTAGAAATCAGTCTGCTGCCTCGCCCTGCAGACTTATTTGAGATACCACCCAGAAAATGGATTTAGCCTTATTTCCACATAGGAAACTAGGAGATTTACTCAGCATTGCTTGGGACCTTAACTCAATTTTTGTTTTTTGGAAAATAAAATGAAAATGTACAAGCTTCATTTAAATCATTGCTCTGGGCTGGGCCTTGGGATGAGAGGTGCAGCATGCAGGCTGCCCTGGCGAGAGAGGACAACCCTCACCCTTTCTTACGGCAGCAGCCAGGTGAGAAGCACCTTCCTGCAGCTCCAGTGGGCACAGCTGGGGAAGGTGCCATTTCCCCTGGCTGGGCCAGGCCCAGGTTTGTCAGCTCCCTGTGCTCCCCAGCCTGAGTGAGAAATGCAGCAAACTGTGCACTTTCCCCTCACTCCCTGATGAAGGGGAATGGTCAGCAATGTTCCTGTACAAATGTGGGGGAGCTTAAGGGTGCCTGGGAGGTGGGATGCTCAGGGCTGGGGCAGTCCAGGATCGGAGGACGTGCCCCCAACTAGCCCCTTTCACCTGCCTGGTGATTCCATCTCTTTTCTGTATAGTTTTCAGAGAAGCAATCCCATTCCAGGCATATCCCATTTTCCTGGCACAACCAAACCCTGACCTGGCCTTAAGTTATGATAAGAGGGAGCTGCATAACAAATTTGGTGGTCCTAGCTCTTATTATTTAGAAGCAGTTCTTGAACAGACAGACAGACAAACTCTCTCAAATATATTGTAGTTAAGAGAGGTCAAATTGACTGACCACTCATTTCCCCAAGAGACATTGGAAATTTACCTTAAGCTACCTGGTGATGCCTTTTGTGGGAGGAGAAAGAGCTCAGCATTATATATATAAAAAGCACTCACCTTTGTGAGTAGCAGCGCCGCTGTCGAAAACTGATGCCCCCACCACAGCTCCGACTGCACTCACTCCATTCTCCCCAGCCCCCCCAGAAATCAGCCTGCCGCCTTGCCTTGCGGGCCTGTGAAAACCAAACATTCAAGCAAACACGGTGAGATAGAACAAAAGCAGCAAAAATAAACAACTACTCCATGCTGTACCAAGCCAAGGTACCAAACCATTCCCTCTCCCTAGCTATTGGGTAAGGAGACAGAGGAAAGTGGAGAAGAGCCAGGAAAGAAAAGTCTTAAGTACTAGAAAACGCATCTAGTGTAAGGATGTTAAGTACTAGTCGAGGGGGGGGGGGAGGTGGGAGAGGGGAGAAGAGAAGTGATCCCGGGCTCAGCTATGCGGCACTGCCCCTTTGAAATGCTGCCTCAGCGTTTCAAAGCAGCAGCACCACATGGAGCCTGGGGTCAGCTGGGGACTCCCCAGCTGATCCTGGGCTCCACGTGGCATTTCAAAGCGGCAGCTCCATGAGGGTGCTTCTGCTTTGAAATGAACAGGAGGTGGGAGAGGGGAGAAGAGAAGTGATCCCGGGCTCAGCTATGCGGCACTGCCCCTTTGAAATGCTGCCTCAGCGTTTCAAAGCAGCAGCACCACATGGAGCCTGGGGTCAGCTGGGGACTCCCCAGCTGATCCTGGGCTCCACGTGGCATTTCAAAGCGGCAGCTCCATGAGGGTGCTTCTGCTTTGAAATGAACAAAAGCTCCCGCTGGGGACTCTTGTACATTTCAAAGCTGGCATGCTGTATGGAGCCCAGAGTCAGCGGAACTTCCCGCTGGCCCTGGGCGGCACGCAGAGTTCCGCGTTCCTCCGCTGAAATGTACAAGAGCCCCAGTGGTAGCTCTTCTACATTTCAAAGGAGAAACACGGAAATGTCTATCGACTAGTTGAGTAATCGATGGAAATTCCATCAACTACTCGACTAGTAAATGACTCGCTATTTAACTTCATTAATCTAGTGCCCTGCCACTTCACACAGAGTCTCAAGCCCAAAGTCTGCAGTGCAGTTTTATGGCCCCACACATGGAGTCCTGTGAACTTGAGCCAGCTGATCTGGGCCACAGATCTTTTATTGCAGCATAGACATGAAAGCCAGCTCTATTCACCTTCAATCTATTCAGCTGCCTCATAGAATGGAGCCTACCTCACTTTCCCAAAACTTTACATAGTGCTATATCCCAGACTAGCCAAAAAGATATGCTGACATAGACATCACCATCCCAGACCAGATCAATGGAGCCATCCACTCCTGTATCCAGGCCAGATTCTTAAGAGAAAGGCATAAAATACCCATAGTGCACCTGTCTGCAAAACAATTGCAGGGAAGGACATTTTTTCCTAAACCTGACTATCCCTAGTGATCATCACATGCTCGGAAGCATCAGCACTGATAGCCCTAAACATTTTTATAGTCTAAATGACATTCCTACCTCAATTATGCTAAGAGACCCCATAGAAGTAAATTGGACTAGAATAAGTTATTGGTACTAAGAGAACATTGCCCTAGAAGAGTATAAAATATTGTAGCTGGGGGAAACCTGGTGCATTGCAGGCAGCATGATCTGTACAAAATAGGATGAGGAACTCTGTGGATGGGGAAAAAGATTCTGAGAAGGAATAACAATTGCAGACATGAAAGGAGATTAATTACTATGCAATTAATTGGCAGTAACCAGGAGAAAAAACAGTGTACTACCAGGAGAGATGGGAATTCTGCAGTAATAGTGCAATCTGGATTTAGAATAGTAACTGAAAATAAGGTTTGTAACTAGGATTGTGTGTCTGTGTTCACAGGGATCTATTTGCAAATCCTGTGGTTGAGAGGGGGCTAAGTGTGCTGCTTGGTCAGTAAACCAGCATTGCTACTGTGAGGATAATGGAGCTGAGATGGGTATAAAAGGTTGCAACAGGAGTCAGGAGTGGTCTGCACAACCACTCCATTTCCTTTGCCCTTTCATTTTATAATTCTATCCAAAAAGCAATTACGTTTGTCTAACAGGATTTATGAATCCAGGATGCCTACTGCTAATGGTTACATCACTCTCAAGGGCCCAGACACTGGACTGAATCCAAGCTATACTGGGTACAGATCAGGAAGGGAAGGGTGCAAAGATGACTATGTCTTTGGGCATCCCTAGACATTCTTTGGGACTATAAATATGAATGTATGTAATAGTCAACTCTTACACTATTAACAGCCTGGCAAAAGAGAACAGCAAAACGTTAGTAACTCCCTGTGCGCTAAGTGCTACGGCAATACCTGTGCTAGGAAGACATGTGTGTTCTTGATAAAACTGGCATGGCCCTGCACCCAGACCTCTTCTGCCACTTGCACTCCAGGGATGGGCTCCAGCTGAAGAACAGGCTGTTGTGGGCTGGCATCACAACATCGCTCATTATGGTCTTACATTGTAGCTGAACAGCCACTGAGTTGGGTCGGGTCAAGCTGATCCTAAGATGATTGTTTCAGATCTGCAGTGCAAGTGTTGGCCGAGTAATAGCTTGGCCTGGATCTTGTAAACTACCAAATTCATCTTTTCCCAAAAAACGGGGTGGGTAAAGTCCCCCTTGAGTTCTGGAGATGTTTTTTTTAAATCTGTATTTCCCTGCTCATATACAAATCCTTTATGCAACACCTGCAGTAGTGTCTCCTCTCTTCCTCTTGTACAGAATGGGTCTCCCTTTGCTGATCCAACAATCACAGGAATCATCCCGCTGTATTTTTGTCACTGCTACCAAATCACACTCACGATTGTCTTGCTGCAGCATCCTCTGGAGTTCTTCCTGCCTATTTCCCGGGATACTCTTCTAGCATTTGTAAGGATGCACTTTGCACTCCTATTTGCACCACACAAGCTGAGTACAATCCTCTCCAATTTCTTCCACTGCAAATCTACAATTCAACTCCCTTGAGATGACTCCCTTGGTGCTGACCATCTCTCCCATCCTAGCCACAGCACTGCTCTCTCTGCATTACAGGCACTTCCATGCACTTTCCCCCCTTTGAGTCAATATCTCCCTGTCCAGAGCACCCATTGCTGATGTGTAGGGCTCAAAACTGATCTTAGTCACCAGTCTGTCTCATTCATGCTTTCCCCGTCAGATATAACCTGATGGATGTCTGGCTCCCCTTCCTACCTTGCCATTTTAGGAATGGCCCCATCTGGGGAGTTTTGGGCCTCAATGTTTTAAGCTGATTCTCCAGTCCTCTGTACTGGTTTCAGTCTGTATCCTCCCCCTACTTCCTCTGCTCTACACATTGAGATGAATGAAACATGCTACAGAGTTCTGTTGCTCTGCAATGCTTCTGCTCTCTACCAGCTGGCTGATTCAGAAGCACCATTAATTCACGCTGGAAACAAAGGATCTTTTCGTCAGCAGAGAGGAAGAAAACATCTAGATCACATCCTGAGGCACAGCAGCTGAGAATCAGATAACTGGGAGGAGGGTCAGAAGGCAACAGCTGCCCTCAAGCCCTCCCATAGTATATGGTCATGATGTAAATATTCAAGCATCTCTGCTGTACAAGTATTATTTTTCTTTCTTCCCTGTACACACAGTGACATCCAAGGAGGTACTTTACTGCAGGTTTATGGGCCTGCGGAGTCCAGGAGCAGCCAATAACTCAATACTGCATCATTTAGCCATAGCTCAAAAAAAAGCTCTCTCAGTATAGCGACAGGGGTGTTTCCCACTCTGAGCTTAGCGCTCATATATGCACTAGGCTTGTTTTGTGTGCATGTGTACAGACGTGCATAAATATGTAGATATTTTATAGGTCTGTGTATTCATGACAGATACAAAATCTATCATTATGTAATCTTGTAATGAGCTGTTTCTGGCTGCCGTTTTCCAGTTTTCGCCTTTCTTTGCTCTGCTCAGCCTCGGCATGCTTTCATCTGTTGTCAGCTTTGATGACTAAACCCCTGTCCCTGCTGGACCCTGGAGCAGAATCCACAAACTTCATTATTATTAGTGTACCTCCAGCTCCATTTTTCTGCCTTCGGCAACACACATCCACGGAGTTATCAAATTTGCCATGGGTGCGCCTAGAAGAACGGGTTTTAACATGCGAGAGAAAGCAATGCAGAGTACAGAACTGGCCTGCCTTGCAAACAAAGGCATCAGAAACACAAGCCCTGGTGAGCTGTGCTTACCTGCCAGCTGGCTAATGGGTACAATGGTTAAAACAGGAGAATGATACGTGCCCTCTTGCTGACTGTCTCCTCTGCTTGGACACCTTGTACTCCCGGGGCATAGAAGATTTTAAAGAGTAAGACTACTCAGAAGAGCAGGATATTGGAGTAATGTGCTCTCAGTGGTCTGTGTGGCAGAGTAAACACACTGCTGTGCTCCAGAGCCAGCGCTAGGCATACACAGATTAACCAATTGTTTTGGGGCCCCAAGCAGCCCCTCATTATATTTTTATTATGGGTTAGTAATGTATGTGTGTGGAGGGGTGGGGGGGAGAGAGAGGCATTCTTGCTTGTGGTCCCTAATAGGTTAGCACTGCTGTGCTCTAAACCAACTGGATGGAGCTTTTTAAGGTCAGGAGTCTCATTTCTAAGTTTAATGTAATATTTTAAAATCCTAGGTTAGGGTATTGTTGACCTGATTTGTGGCATCTTCTGCTTATAAAGACAACTGCAGCCAGAGTAACCAGTTAGCAGTGTAAAAGTGATGCTTCCAGCCCCCTTTGAAATTGGTACACAGCCGGCCTCTGAGAGCAATTCCGACATACACCATGCTCTAAGGAGCCCACAAAGCAATCAGGATACAACCAGAACGTGTAGTATAAGGCACTGTAAGAAGGAGGTCTGAAACCCAATGGGGAGGGGTAGAGAATGTTGGCAGTACCTTGGTCAGGCACTGGAGAAGGCCTTTGGGGGATTTCTCAGCTGCTCAGAGAGATGAGACACAGGCAAGTAGATAAGTAAAGAGAGAAGGCTTTGTACTTTGGACAGACAGGGTGGGCCGAGGTAATATCTTTTATTGGACCAATTCCCGCTGGAGAGAGAGAGAAGCTTTCAAGCCACACAGAGCTCTTCCCTGAAAAGATCACAGAAAGCTTGGTTT